CCGGTTTCACATCCAGAATCGAACCAGTATTCCGTGCCAAATTATGGCGCGATACCAGTGAAGGCAACTATGCATTACTTTGGAGAAGTACTATTTATTAAGCAAACACAAGGCTGATCTTTTAAAAAATTCTTTTTCAAGTCGGTGACTGTTTAAAATGAAAGCTTATGGCATTTGACTGCGGAGATATAACTCTTTCGGAGGGCTCGCCAAAAGATTTGAAAGCTACCGCGGGGGCATAATTATATTAGGCACCGTTTGTTTGTCGACGTCTTGAAAATGAAATTTCTTGTCTTTTCATTGTTTCGATCTAAGCCGTGCAAAAGAACACAAAGTATAAGCAACCTTGCTGTGCTGAAATTACATATAGAATCAATTTTGATTAGAATATTGAAATTCAATTCAAGCAGCTGTATAACTTAATAACTGTTTAAGAAGTAATTAAGAAACAGTATTATCTCACCGTGATGGTGCTCACTTACTCTCTGTGTTTAAGTTTCAAAATACTAGTGAATATATTACTTGCCCCCTGTAATAAGGCGACAAATGGATATCACAGAAATCTGCAAAATATTCCACAGAGAAAACCAGGACATACATATTAAGAAGACAAATGCGCAATGGTAGAAACAAGAATTATTCAAAGGGTATCAGTGGGTTGTTTAGATGCTATTTATGCGCTTTTATTATTTGTGGTGACCTGTTTCTTTCGGTTTCAAGGCTAAATAAATGAGTGTTTCTCAAGGTTGTGACAAACAGCGTAGCCATAGCTGACATAGCTTGATCGCAAACTTCTAAGGTTTTAGGGTACAAATATTTTAAGATAAGTCAGAAGACGTCTCCTGGATATGTATGATTTCATTATAACAAATAATTATTTGCTCTGAGCAATAGAGAAACCAATGTTTTTTTTTTGGTCTTCGATTCCACGAACTCGAGAATCGCAATGACATACACACAGTGTCATGCAGAGCTTGAACGGACAAATTAACATTAACTTGCACCTAAAGCCTGGAAGAGGAAAAAAAACTTTGTAAACGATCCTTATAGCAACTTGTGTTCATTTTAGCGCATAATTAGCTCCACAGGAAATTAAAGCTGAATCTCATGTAGCATTTAACAAAGTCAACNGCTTGAACGGACAAATTAACATTAACTTGCACCTAAAGCCTGGAAGAGGAAAAAAAACTTTGTAAACGATCCTTATAGCAACTTGTGTTCATTTTAGCGCATAATTAGCTCCACAGGAAATTAAAGCTGAATCTCATGTAGCATTTAACAAAGTCAACAGTGCTAAAAACCACCTTGAAATGCAAGACACAATAAACAGACAGCGCTGCATAAAGTATTTCATTTGGACTACAAATAGTTCCTCATTTTCCTCAGTTTGTAGAGGCGCGAAATAAGCGAGCGCGCGCGAATATTTACCACACGCAAAGAACCCACGAGGAAGGTCGAGACACGAGCACAGCGAACCCTCTACGAAGTGCTAAATCTTCTTGCGTGTTTCTTGGATCAGAGTCTATTTTCTCAATGGGATGGTAGCTTTGACGGTTCACGGTCTGAATTTTTTCTAACTTTGACGGTTAACAGATAAGCTTTAGAGCTTTTGACGTCCGGTTATTAAGTAGAAATTTAGTCCTAGAGTTTAAGTAAACATCAACTTGTAATTTGAAGTTTGTCTTGGCCTTTCACTTATAAAATTTCGAAATATTTTCAGCAAGTTGTAAGGTCTTGTTATGTCTAGGGGGATTTTTGAGAATATCAGATGGGAGCTAGTTATTCTAGTTGCGCAGAGATTCTTCAGGAGCCAGAGGTCCGTGAAGATCAGCTGAAATAGTGAGAACTGAAAAACCTTGAAACTTTTTGACAATTAAAATTAATCTACATTTTTGACGGTTTACAGTAAAAAAAAAAACTACCTTTTTCGACGGCTGATGGTTAATCTCATTAAGAGCCGGGATTAAGACCCTCTTATTAATTCCCCCAACACCTGCGCCAAAACCAAAACCGAAAAACCGCCAGCGTTTTTGGGATGCACTCTGTACAGATACACTCGGGTGTACGTTAAATGAAGTAACAAATGATTTTGAGTATACCCTTCTTCCAGCTAAAAAAAAATGGCTGAAATAGTAAACGGACACTTAAACTCAACAAGCCAAAATGGAAGAATAACAAACAAAAGCGTGACTTGACAAAATGTTTTATTTGCGTCAACATTCGTTGAATACACAAGTAGAAAAGGAACTGGAAATTATTATAAAAAAATATGATTTGTTTGTATAGAACGTGTTTTACTTATATTTGATCGTTTGACTGAGCTGGTTCTATGTTTCTTCTACTTTGTTAAATTTGCCTGTCAACCATAATAAAGAAATTAAAGAAAACCATATCATCAAAGTTTTTGGAAGCGTTTTACCATCCCGCCTGAATGCCACCATTCACTGAGGCATACTATTCGGATCAATTTAGGGCGGCTTTCTTGGAAACTTCCCACCTACCCTTCCCCTAACTCAACATTTTGCCCTAAGTGAGAAGTAAGTGTTAATGTTGACTTAGGGGAGGGGTAGGTGGGCAGTTTCCCAGAAACCTTAATTGATTTAACTATTCCTCTATAGTCGATTCTCTGGAAGTATGGTCTGTTTGACATCTGAATGACGTCGTCTATTGAAATCACATGACCTGTATTATACGGACGGTAAAACATTCCCCGCGGGTTTCCGAATAACACTGGTTTTACTGTGTAAATAAAAGCAGTATTAACCGACTCTGAAAAGCTCTGTTAAGAGTCAACAGGATCGCAAGTTGTCTAAGTTACTTCGTCCAACCCATAATAAAATTTTCATTTAACAACCGTGATTCAGTGAGTGTGGTGCGCTCCTCCACCCTCTGATTCGTAACTGATTCTCAAGATAACAGTACATCATAATTCCTAAATGAGCCTGAACAAGAGAGAATCTTGGCCTTTAATGTAAGGGAGAATAAATATTTAATAATTTCATTCATTACATTATTTACTGCAAAAAAGACATTTTTCTCATGGGAATATCTAACTGCAGTAATGGTTTAACAGTAGGATACCTCAAAGGAATGCTATTGCAAAATTTGTTTGGGCCCCGCATTTGAAACTCCTATATCATCATTCTATATCATTCACTTCAACACTCTGAGCACTGCTAATGGCAGTACATTAAGGTAAGGGGAACAGTGCAGACAGAACTAAATGGAAACTATTATCGGATGAATTAGGTGAAAAAGTAAACTAAGTAAGCAAAAAAGAGCAATCTAATTAAAACTTGAAACGTATGTCATCAGCAGCATAAGCCAACAGCCGCCAAAAATGCGGACGTACCGGAATGTCCCTTTGCTACGCGCAAATGAAATATGGTGGTATTGAAATTATAAATTAACAAAGAACACAGCGATGTTTTCAGCCGTCTGCTGATTTCAACTCTCGCAGCCAAGTCATGCTACACGCCGACTGAAGAATGTTGCACAGGTGATTATTAAAAGCAAGACGGACAGCGAACTAAGCATGAATACAAGTATCCAACCGGCATGTTGTTTCTCTTATAGAAACTTAAGAACTTGTGTTTACTACGAGAAGGCGTAGAGTAGAACAACGTTCAGCTATTAAAAAAATGTTTTCTCGAGGGAATTTTAAGTGGCTTCAGATACGTTTGTCATGAAAAGAGATTAGGTGTGACAGTTTTTGTTGCGCAGAGTAGTTTAATTAGGAAAGAAATAGAACTTTCTTGAAACAAAGAGCGATTAATAAAATGCCTCATAAATTTATGCGCAACTGTAAAGCACTCATCGGAGCTAACCAATTACCTGCAACTGCTACAGCGCTGATTTTACAAAAGCTTTAGCTTGTACGGACCTCAGCAAACCTACTAATGCTTTGACCAATTTTTGCGCAACGATACCGGAAACTCGTAGAGAAACCGAAAAAATAAATATATTATAGTTTTCTACCGTATAAGCCCAGCGCATGGGATTACTGAAACTGCTAGCTATCGTGAAACTGAAATGTTGCCTTGATAGACTTGTTGGAGATGATCCTTAACAAAACAAAGGGACAGGGAATTTATTTTGCAACAAGAAACTATTAAAGATAATGCCCTGGGAGAAAATGAAAGATTATAACATCGAGGACTTTTTCTCTGTGTCAGCTGTCGATAGTTAATTTAATCCGTTTATTTTTGTGTCCTGACGAGTTCTTAGTACCGAGAAAACCCCCTTCACACAAGAGATATATGAGGCATTGTCTTGTCCGGCACTTCCTGTTTAGAGTTATCTGGCCACGTGATAGACAGACAACCACGCCTCAAACTAATGAGATTGTCGATTACAGCCTTACATGTGGCAGTGCAACATTAATTTGTTGATTTGAATAAACTTCCTTGATATTGTTATAAGACTCGCTAAACAAGGCGAGAAGGATGGAAAAACAGAAAACGCAAACTGACATTTAAGCTGATTCTAAACAAAGACACAATTAGACTGTAAAAGGCTTTAAATCCGACTTCCCCTTTTTTCCACAGAATTGCCCTGTAATTCTTTTTCCCCCGCAGTGGCCACAACTGCAGGTTTCGTAAGGTTTATTTAAGTACTCTATCGCTAAACGGTAGAGTAATCGCACAAATTTTTTTTTTTTATTGAGGCTAATTGTATGTAGTTAATTCGTGGCAAGAACGGATTTTGTTTGAAGCAAGATATCTATTCATATTTATTTGTACAAATTCACCCAGTTGACCCGTAACTAAGCCCTCATTTGCAGAATAAAAATATCGCACGCAACTATAGTAGGTTCGAAAGTATGTAACCACTGTCATAACTGTTTTTAACATTTTCATGCGAGAATACAAACAGCCAACAGCTGCAAGTATTTAGGTAACGTTAGGTCATGCGCGGCTTTTTGCCAACGGGCTGATCCGCGTCCTGATTGGTCACTTGGGTGTTAAAAAGCAGGATGGCACGCTTCTTACTGCGTCCACGCTTACCGTGTTGCGGAGTTCCATTGCTTTTTTGCCACGCGTTTTCGGGGAAAACTGTGAGTATGGATTCCTTTAACTGACTCATGATTACAATAATCTCCATAATGATTTCCGTTTTATAAACTTCCATGCCGGGGCCACACCTTACATCATGCTCTATCTATTTCGTGTTATGCTTCATTCGCAAATTTTAAGTTTGAGCTTATAACAAATGATTTGCAATTTTACTAAGTAGTCCAATGGCGTTTTAGCTCGGGCTGAGGTTAGCTCTCCCTAATCGGAGTCTTGCCAATAACTGGTTCTCTCCTAGATAAAATGCTTGAAAAACGCATTACCCAAATCACGCTGCATTCTCTTCGGTGCCTAACCTAAACTGTTGAACTAAACATTTTCAGAGGATGCACCAACGTAAAAAGCTTCGTCTTCGCGACTGGCTCAAAGAGATGATCGATGCGGGCTTGTATGGTTTAAAATGGGAAGGAGACCCGAGGAAGCGAACCTTTCGAATCCCTTGGAAACACGGCTCTCGGCATGGCTGGTCTGAAAAAGATGATGCTGCTCTATTTAGAGCCTGGGCCACATATACAGGAAAATACAAAGAAGGAAGGGACCTCCCTGATCCTCGAAAGTGGAAGACAAATTTTAGATGTGCTTTGAATGCCTTACCAGATATTAAGGAGATTCGCGAAGAGAGTTGTCCCCGTGGAAAGGATGCTTATAAGATTTACAAAATGCGGCCAGTTCGAGGAAGAGGTAAGGGATTTGGAACCCAAAGATGCTACCGGAATGTGATAACTGTTAAGTTTGTAATAGCTCACTGTTAGCGACGTAATGATATTATAGTTAGAGAAAGATGTTAGCGTTTTCCATTCTCTGTCTCCATGTTTCTTTCCGCCTATACAAACAAAGCATGTCTTGTTTGCAAATAGTTGCCAACGAACTCAGAGCTAAAGCTAATAAAATAACGACTAGGGAAATTCGTATAGAGTGGACCCAGAGTGGTATGGTGCGCATTCAGGGAAATCATACTCTCTTAGCGGTTTCATGGACCAAAATCTGAGCTATATTGGCACTGATGGGTTTTAATATTACAAGATCACAGAGCAATTTGTTTCTTCAAGTCAACAATTTTGCAATAAGTCTGGCGCAATCATCAACGTATCGCTACAAAAAACGAACAAAACTTTACCTCACATAGACAGAGTCAGTGTCGAGTTAGACGATGAGACAAATGAGACATTTATATTGTATGAATGCGATTTTAAGGAACAGCGGTCAACCACCAATATCAACTATCGATAGTGGTAAATTAATGAGACAAAGTATTTGCCACGCGCCATGAGATCAATATACAGCTGATTTCAACTTGAATTCTTCGGTTCTCATTCGCGGGATCGTTTGAGCCCAGGACATTTCAAGAGTCGCTTGAGCTTCTCGTTCAATCAGTTGAAATGCTAAAAGACTACAAGGTTAGAAATGTAGATTTGATAAAGCACAAAGCTCTTAAATGCCAGTACAATACATCCTTAGTTGGCGCAAACTTTTAAGACTTCATATCAATCCAAATGTAAGATCAAAAGAATGTTTGTTTGTTGTATACATTGCATTTCCATGACTTGTGGTGGTATGTACAATAACCTCTCATTGAAATACATTGCGGCAATGAACTGGTCGTTTTCCTTAACCAAGACTCTGTGCTACCGATAACTTCGTTAACGGTCATTTCTGAGTTACGTTCTACTGAAATGATTAAAAACAAATTCAAAAGAACCACTTTCTTGTACAATTTGTCTTTTCCCGTATAATCTGACAGGAGAAAAATAAACATGAATAGAAAGTTAGACTTTTAGGGGTCCATTAATCGCATTCTTGCCTTATTTGAGAGTAGCAGAAATCCACTTAGTTACTTTAATTTACTAAACGGATGCAGTATCAAATTCTATCAGCGGTTGCTTTTCAAACATGGCTGCCATATGGGACACTTCTGTAGTTTAAGTCGGTTTCAGCCTACTATCACTCAATAGAGCAGGCAGGGCGCAAAATCAGAAAAAAAAAAAAAAAGAATCACACCTCTATACTAAGTTGCTCTGATTCAATTTGAATTTGTTCATATCTCACTTGTCTCCTCGTCTCACCGGTTGTCTTACAGTTAGGTGGTCGGCTTTCGCGTTTCTGTTATATGAATTTAGAGCGTGACTCATTTACGTCCTTCGTAAATCAATATCATGCGTGCACGTACTTTCCGGTAGTTGTCTTTGTTATGCTGTACCAGGTATGTGCAGCACTAATAGTTTTTAATTTGTGAATGGAACAATAAAATGTCACCATTCAAACGTGCACGTGTTTTTAGTATTTTTATAACGTCTAAAAAACGACTCTATGATTTTGGTCGATGTGAAATCCTTACAACCATTTTTCCGTTCAGATTAATGTGAGTCGTACTCTCCCGCGCAGTGCTGATGAAGTAATGGATGGCGTATAAAATTTTTTCAATCTGTTGAAGAAATGAATCATAATCGATAGTAAACTCATACAGAAAATTACAAATAGCAGTTATTTCGGGATGTTTGAGTTTTGGTCAATTATTAGAACGAACGAAAATCAAAGAAAACTACTTAATTAATTTATGGCCATGACACCAAGGGGCACGCAGGACTGTCCAAGGCTTATCTCTCTTACAACAGAAAGGACGATTTGAACCAGACAGAAAATAACCTCAGTCACGTCAGTTTCACATCCTTTCCATAATACAAAATGTTTGAAACAAGAGTGGATGTTTCCATTTTTTGCCCAAACGATGACCTTGAACCAGCAACCATCTTAAAATTATCGTGGAATTAATTCCCTCATGGAACGTGCCGCGCGGTCAGCATGTATTTCGCTTTCATAAAAATAAAAATCCATGCCGGCACGCGTCATTCGATGAATAAGAATTGTCTAAATATCGTCTAAGGGGTCTTTTTTCTGCTTGAACACGTTAACTAGAGGTACAATACACTTGTTTTCGGGTTGACCATTTCCCTTTCTCCACAAAAACGCAACCTCTCAAGGAAAGAACAGTCTGGATAAGATTGGTTATTAGGTATTTATGAAATGAAAATTTTTTCTTTTCAAAAAAAGGTTGGGAACAAGAATGATTAGATGGTCGTTTAATGAATGATCTTTGTGGTTGGAGATTCAACGTAGTTAATATAACATGCTACAGTACACACCTGTGAGTAAGAAACAGCATTTTCCCAAGTTAGCCTAAACAGGTTTTTACATGGTACTGTATTAGTACAAATTTAGGCTATCTAGGTAAATAGGTTCTTCAGTTTTTTTTTCTAAAAAAAAAAATACAAGTACTTAAAGCTAATATTGATTTAGTGGTATTCAGCTTATTCTTTATATAAAATTTGCAAACCATAATACTGACATAGCAGTTGGAGTGATAAGGCGCGTATGTCTCCAAAGAGTACCCTGGATATCTTATCTTATCTTATTTGCTTAAGTGTACAGAATTCTTAGTTATGGATTTTAGAAAATATGAACCTGTTTCAAATTTTAGGCTGAACAGGTTGCATAGAGGGGGCCTAACTGGCAAATTTTAGCCTAACTTACTCGCGAGATTTACTGTATGATGGTGTCCAAGATAGTTCTATCTTTATATTCTAGACTGTATACCCTAAAGTTTGTCTGACCATTAAAATAAAGGCTAACCCGGTTTTGTGCAGTACATTTCTGTATATGTGATGCTGTTTATAACGCTGCACAGTCGGTGAATGTCAGTTTTGAGTCACTGTGAATGAAATTCTGCAGTGAGTTAAACCTAATGAGAGGTACTTTCCTCTGGTGCTGTTTATCATGATGCTGTACAGGCTAAGTTAGTTCTGACTTTTAAATCTGTGCATGAAATCGTATCGTGTAAAGCTGTTGAATAGTGCTCTCCTGTGGTGCTGTCTGTTATGTTGTACAAGATGGTTCTAATTTTGTGTCTGTAAGTGAAATCCTAAGGTGTCAACTTTGAAATTAAATCTGAACCATACTTTCCTTTGGTACAGTTTCGTTTTACCAGAGAGTTCGAGCATTTAAGCCATGCGAGTAAACCTTTAACTAAGACAATTCAAATGAAAGCTACTGGCCATTATACTCCTGTGGTGCTTTTTATGATCTGTACACGCCGGATGGTTTCAACTTTTGAGTCTGGGAATGAAATCCAACAGTATGACAATTCAAATGAAAGCTTCTGAGCAGCACTTTCCTGTGGTACCATTTATTACGCTGTACTTGGTGGTTCTAACTTTTAAGTCTGTGGATGAAATCTCAAAGTATGACTCTATGAAAGATACCTAACAGTACTGTACTGTGACACTATTCACGCTGTATACGCCTTAAAAGGTGGTCCCAACTGAGTCTGTGGATAAAATCTAAAGCGGGACAGTTCAAATCAGTAAATGCTTGTGAGCAATACCTTCCTATGGTCTGTGTGCTTTTAACTTTTGAGTGATTTGAGTCAGAATGGGTAAAATTCTAGTGTGACTATTCAATTGAAAGCTACTAAACAATAATTTCTTGTGGCGCCTTCAAAGCGGTTCTTGAAACATCCACTGGTTTAACGTGCAGCATCATTATCCATAATTAATATTCTAAAAGTTGGATAAGATTGATAACTAGGTATTGTTGGTGTTGACAATTGAGTTCGCTTATTATCATTTTTAGATCGTTTAAGGTTGCAGCATGATCTCAAGGGGAGTGAGCCTCGTCACCCCTCAAGATTCACAGGATCTCATCTGTCTTTTACCTTTCCTTCTCAAGTAAGTTTGCATGATTTATTATTTATCCAATTGCTGTTTTCGGTTAAATTGTCATGGGCAAAATTCAATCCTTATGACTGATATATATTTCTTTCACTTTTACTTCCCATCATACGAAAGACATTTTCGATAAACTACAACTTATATAATTAATTATTTGCTCAAGAGTGTCTTCGTTTCTCTTTCTTTCTTTTGTTTCTTTTGTTTGGGCGTTTGTGCTGGTCCTAAGGCGCGTCAGCTACTTCAATCCTGTTGTAGCCCCTTCATACACGCAATACGGACCTACATTGTGCCAACGACTATGTTATTGTTAGGGTTCAGAGGCTCAACAGTACCTTCATATTCTGAACCACTACTTTCGGAAAAACAATGTTGTGGCCTTAGTTCAAAATTTAACAACCTATTAAAAATGGTTTCATCACACACAACATTTTTTTTCTTGTCTAAACCACTGAGAAAATTGGCTAAAGCTACAAAAAGCCACATGGACATTATATGCAAATTAACGAAACGAACGTACATATTCTTTGCCTTTGTTTGATAAAGTACGTGTTTTTTTGTAACTTAGAAGCTGCTCTTAAATAACTTACGAAAGCTCAATCAACCCTCAGAAGTGATTTATAAAGCCAGGGATTACAATACTGTAATATAACCAATGTTCGAAATAGCCAATCGATCATCATTGACCCGGAGAAGCCGGAGCTTTCTATCCGGGCTCCGTCGCCGAGCAGTTGGTTCCTCGTATTAGCTGCATACGGGCTTTATGTTGCCTCATTTTGATAGAATTTTTTCTACATAATACCTGTTGTAACGTTTTAATTATTGGCAAGAGAAAAGGCATGAGTGAAACTGATATTCCTAGAAACGTTTTAATTTAAACCGTAAACGACGATGAAAGTTTAATTGTTATAAAACTGGGTTAAAGTATTCGCGACTTTTAAGAAGCAAATACTTTACTG